CACAATTGAGGTTCTTGCGTAACAGAAATACTAAAATGGTGCAATGAATTAAATGAAAAGATCATAATATCTTTACAGGATCCTTTCATTTCATGTTTCGAAACAAATATTTATATTTCTGTTAATTAGTAAGATTAATTTTAGACCTTAGATCTCTAATTTAAGTTTTCCGGATTTTATTATTTTATGAGAAAGAATGCCAAAGACGTTATATAGAAGTTTGTTGCTTCATCCATAATAACCCAAATTCATAATGTTGATGACAATGATGATAACGATGGTGATGATGACGATGATGAATTTGATACCAGCACTATAATGCATTCTATTTATTCACTTGTCAAATCAGCTCACTTTCAAGGGAAATTATAATAAAAAATCACTAGTAACTTTCATTTGTAAGACTTGCGCCACCTAACCTGCTTATCAGTTTTTAATACCACGAAGCTATCAACATAGTTAAGAGCAATTGTCAGAGGACAAATAGTTTTCATTTTTTGACCATTTATGCTTAATATGCAAAATATACGATAGGTTGTCAGGAGATTCTTGACTTCATCTACATGTAAGGCTTATTTGAAGACCATGTTTTTAAGAACATTAGAATACTTCATTAACAGAAGTCATTTAATCTATTAGTTGATATGCTCAAGATATTTTAAAATGGAAAATTTGAGAAACAAGCACATTTCTTCCGGTACATAGCATTCATCTTTGAATCACGCCTAATAATATATGTGAATCGTTAAAGAATAATCAAACAGCAAAATAAGTGCATAACAAGGGCATTTTTTTGGTTGCAGCGGTATCGAGAAAGCAAGTAGTTAAGGCGGAATCGAATTTTGATCTTCCAAATATTTCATAACAGTTTCATATTTGGATTTGTTCAAAATGCAAATATGAGTAATAGCTGAATTTTTCACACTAAGGACTATTTATTTATTTGCATATATTATTCTGCCTTTATTTACTGACATCTCTTGTTTAACTTTTCTGTATAGATGACACTGACACTGTTCAGATCAGTCCATTTTACAAAGCTTGAACATAATTTCTCGGCTTGAAACAGCTTAGCCTTCTTTTATTTTACGACTGATTGGTTTCTGCAAATTTTTTAATTCGAATAATTTAAATAAATAATTCCAGCAAAAGCTGCGCATACATAAGTCATCGAAGAACATGCCCATTTTTATTTACCATTTTGCATTATTTGAAATAGGGTGATCTAATAGAAAAATAATTTAAAAAATGGGTTGCCAGTCTAGTAAGCAAAGTGAGAACGCGAAGACGAGAAAGTCAAAGCTATCAAAACCTGATGCAAACGAAAAAACAAATGTAACTCCAAATGTCCGTTTGCCAAATAATTCTGATTTCCAAAAATCAACAAATGATATTCTGATGAAATGTAAGCTTGCAATGAGAAGCGACTGCTGGATTCTGTAATTGGAAAAAATTGATCTGCAAATTTAAAAACATTTTTTTCCAATAAAACTGAATAAAAGAAATTTTCTAAAAAGTTGTTAGAATGATTTCCAGATAGCAAGTCAACCAGCAATAAAAAAATTACAATCAGAACGAAGCAAGAAAGAAATACCTGCAGAAAAGTAATTTATCCAAACTATTTATCATTCATTCCCTAAGTGAAGTTAACTTATATTTTATGTATCATAACTTACATTATCATTTCGGAGCGAAAGTTAGTTCTCTTAGAGTAACATTTTCGAGCGGGGAACCGAATGATGAGATGGGGAGTAGTGCAGAACGAGCCGTGAATCGTAAGGCCGATCTAAAAGTGAAGAGAGTTGTATCGCGAAGTATGGAATCAAATGAAGAAGCTGTTAGTGATTGGAATCAATCGAAAAAGGATAAACTTCGTAGGCATAAATCAGAGCAAAATCTCGTCAGTAATAAAGGTAAGAAAGATACAAATTCATGTGAAATAATTCATTATTACTAATTACTATATTAAACGTGATGTTTTCCAAGTTCGAAATATTTTAGAACATAAGTATTTGGATGGAAAGTTGAACAAGAAATATATGCTAAATAGTAGTAAACAACTACAAATTCGAACGTTAGTCCTTTATCATCAAAATTTCATTCATTTTTTCATCAGACGGTTTTAATAGAAGTCGAATTGGGAGAAGATAATTATAATAGGATCCTGTGTGGATGATAGAATAATTCCTGCTTTGTTATGACAGGATTCTGCCATTTGTAGATGATACGATAATTCCTGCTATTTTTTTCTTTTTCTCTTTTTCATCTCTTTTTTTGTCCGTTTCCTATCGAACTTTTTTACAATTTCAATAATCCCTGTTTTGCCATTGTTACAATCCATCTTTCAACTTTCGGGTATATGATACTTGAAAGTTGAAAGATAGATTGTAACAATCAACGTGAGCCGAAGGTTACAGGTTAAATTAAGTGATTTTGATTCCTATAGCTCTCTGTAATTAAATGTACCGTAAAATTGTGAATGTGGGAGTATCGGAACATTGTATAAATTACAGGAAGACAAAACGAAACCGAGCAGATCCGGAAGATGATACACTATATGAAGTACCTCTTAAAATGCCAGAATTCGATTTGATGACACCTCGACCAGAAGATAGTGTCGCGTGATAATAATATTTTGATGTTATGTAATAGCAATATTCCATTCTCGATAAAGTTCATATTATTGTGTGCTATGCAGTTTAATAAAAGTGTTACTATGATGTCGATTATCTTCCTGAAGGAATAGAAATAAATGTCGACAGATTTGCATTAGTCATGAACTATTGCACAGATGTCGTAATGTTGCGATAAATTAGACATTTTCTTCCTTTTCTAAATATACTATACATTTTCTAGCGATGATATGGATGAGATGTAAGAAAGGATAAATTAACGTTATTTAACATTTGCATCATGAGGTGACAATTGTACCATCGGAATAAATAATTTTAAATGGTTTTATATCACGAAATATTATAACATCTGTGTCATTCTGGTAAATGTAACAATTTTTGTGCAAGTGCTCGTCTGTGACACACGTCACTTACAAGGAATAACGTTCCTCCAAACACACTTGTATGAGGGGATAATTTAGCTACCTGCAAAGGACGCGTAAATATAGAATGTGTTCATCCACCAGTTTCCAAAGTTTTGAATTTGAGGCAAAATTGATCCGTTATAATGAAATGATGGATAAATACTCCTACCAGGTTCATTAATTCTACAGAATCTTGTGGCCAATCTGCGTTGGATGGAAGAAGGGTGGTTAGGATTCGCCATGGTAGGTCCACTTGTATTTGTTGCGCACCGAAATGACGCAAAAGGGCGCAACAGTAATCCACCAAATGATATTTGGTGTGAATTACTGTAGGCGCAAGAGGTTCCCATCTCTCTATGTATGTTCGTGGATACGACTGCAATATTCATGTGACAGTGCTTTTACGGTTCATAATATCGCATTCTTTTTTTACAAAAAAAATTTTTTGATTTCAATGTATTTCATAGTCACCTATCTGTTCCCGTGTTTGTGTTTCACTCATTCATTCCATTAGTTTCATTCTCTTTTACATTTTGATACCAATCCATTCGGATACAAAATTCCGCTAAGATTCGTAAATTTTAATGCAGTTGTCTTTTCATTAAACGGTATTAACGAGAAGATATCACTCATCTCCTTTCAATTATAACTTTCCAAATTAAGCTACCACTTTAAATTAAAATTAAAACAAATGGTTTTAAACTGAAGTCATACCTCGGCAGCGACTTTACTTAGCACAGCATTTTGATTTTGGTGACCCAGGCTAAGGTATCTTCCGGTTAAACGAACCTGAAATAAGGATTCTCGGTTTCCAGGAATGTAAGTCTTCCGGAAAAGAGTACAAACCTGAGGAGCACACATGCGAAATAAGCCAACAGGCCATTGTTTTAGCATTGCCTTGACAAGCGCTGATCCACGAGATGTAAACTGCGTGATACGAGGATCATCGATATAAATACCCGGATTATTCATGCCTGCATTTGCTAGCAATCTCATCAAATCACTAAAATTACCGATCTGAGATAAAAAAAATCAATTTGAGAATGTAAGAATTAAAGCATATGCGGAGTTAATTGTAAAAATTAAATTAATTCATTATCAATTACTGGACACGATTTACCACTCTATTGTCTATTCCTCTTCATCTATCATTTCAATGCATTTCTATTGATACGGTCGAACAACGGAATGGTACTTGATATTACACACTTTTTAAATAGTTCGATCTGTGCAAATTCGGTAGCATTCCATACATTTTTGTTAATACTAGGACTAATATTCATATCCAATGGATAGTCCATTTTTGATTCCAATTCCATTTTGCTAGGATGTTTGTCCAATTCAAAGCTCTGAAGGAAATAGAAAAGAAGGATTGTTTTTATGTGCACAATGCACTTCCCATCCCTCACATATTAAGCTTTACCTTACAAGTAACATAATCCTCATAACGAACCGACAGAAATCGGTTCCGAAAACGATAGCCATTAAAGGCCCGGAGAACTTCCAGTGCATCTTCGCTGCGATAGAAACGGACACGCCTAAAATAATATGATTTTTATGTTTTAGAATATGTTTTATTAGATGTCAGATGTCAGAAACTTTTAATTGCCAAATTTTTGTCAGAAATTACATGTCAGGAATTTTTAAACTTTTTAATTCTCTTTCAAATTCTTTAGTTGCTAACTATATATTAATATTAGCATTTATAGTAAAATGAATGTTTAACTGAAATACAAATAATAAAAACTGACCAACGTCGATTACTGATAGCAATATCGAATATAGCAATATTTTTTCCACATTCACTTTCGATAAGGGATCGAACGATCTAATTTGAAATGCCGTTAAAAGAGAAGGAAAAATGCTTGCCCTGTCTATTATTTCAGCATTATTAGCAGCTACTTCTAAAAGCGATAGTCTGGATTAATTTCAAATTGCTTCAAAATTAAAAAAATTGCCTGTTGTGAAGCAGTACCAATCCGCGGTACATTTAAAAATATAAGTTGTGCACGAATAAGCTTTTCGCTTGTTAACATCTCTGATACAGTTGGCGCATTCTGAAATGATAAAGAATTTGAGAAGTTTAAATGGTTATTAGCATTAACATCAATTAATAGTAAACATGCTTATTGTAGAAAAAATGAAAACTGAAGAGTACATAGAAGCGATCGGTTATTTGTGATCTCAATTCCGGATCATCGTATACTCGACTCCAGAAATCCCATCCTGATTCATCATTATTAATATCGTTGCTTGTTTCTTTATTCGACGAACAATCATCAAAATTTAACATTATCTGCAGAGGACGTTAAGGTCAATTCATTCGTTTTTCTTAATTAAATAGATAGTAGCGATTGTAATTGATAATTTGATAAATTCAGTTCATTAGTTCCAAATACCACAATTTTTTATTGATGCTCGTTATTTCATAATAATAAGAATTGCTTCCCGCATAAGCCGAAGCTTATTTCCATGAATGAAACCTGTCTGTTTGAGAGAGAAGCCTTTTATTTGAAAGTTTTTCTTACATGTCAAGGATCAAAAGTCATCATAAATTTGTTTTAACCTTATTCATGTTGAGCATATCTGTAACACTGATTGAGCATGGCTTCTCATTGCTACTGCTAGCGCTATCAACATTAGAAAATTTGAATCTATCTGGAGCGGTAAATAATGCATTCGTGAATAGTGCGTTACCATTACTGCTGTTCATTAATTGCAAATTAAACGGACCATGCGACCTGAGATATCTCATCACTTCGGCTTCATTTTTTAGAAAACTTTATTTACTGTACTCCAAGAATTTCTCGAAGTTTATCAAATTATCTCGAACCCATAATGAAAGCATAGGCTAGAAGTAGCAGTTTATTTGAATGCGAAACTTGATCTAAAAAGCTTAATCTCACTGAATAACTTTTCTCATGTTTTTTAGGAAGGAATAAATGATTGCGAGATAATGTGTCCAAGTTCTATCAAGTGAAAAAAAAGGCGAGCTTCGAACTCTTTCAGAAGTTTTAACAAAAGAAACTATCGTAACAGTGCTTACTGAATGTCCGACATTAAAAAGGATAGTAGGATGAATATGTGCCTGTTATTGAAGGAAGCCGTGCCTAGGTGTAGGGTCCCACAGTTGTAAGTTTGCAAATGAAATGTTGTATAATAAGAATTGTACGCGCGACCGCACGATGAAGTGAAAACTATCAGCAATGAGAAGTTATTCAATTTCAAGTACTTTTGTACCTTTGCTATTATTCATTCCTATGATTTCATTCTTCCAATTTATATCACATGACAGGCTTACTTTTTTTCCCTTTCATTGGGATAAGCAATCATCAGTTGAATATGAAGAATATCTTATAAGAATTCTTAATTTTATTCTGCTTTCACGTAATTTTAACTTTATCACAACTTCAGAAATCTGAACAAAAAATTTACAACGTACATAAAGGCAAACTACAAGGGTCCTGTATCTTACTTTCGCCTTATTTTCTCACGTCCCGAACATTAATTGATAAAAGAACATAAAACCAAAGTTTTCAAAGAAAAATTCATATTCCATTCGATATTCTCTCTTCGGCTAAAAGAGGCTCGACGAATACATTATAATTAACAATATGGCACCCGTCCCAATATACAGTTCCACAAACACCACAGACGTAAAAAAATCTGAAATACTGCACCTTAAAATTTACAATTTCAAAAAGATCTCACTATGCTCAAAGTGGAAGTCATCGATAAGCTAGCAAAATTCTTCAAATAACCCTAATGAACAATTCTAACACTAAGACATACATCAAGAAAACAATTTAAAAAATGCCAACCTGCCTTTTTTTTCCAAAACTTGTAAAGGTACTTTTTCTATTTTAACTTCAGTTGGAGTATCACAATCTATAGCAGCAACCAGGCAATTTCTGCAAAATTCACTGTAAAATCGAAATACCAAATAAGTTAAACAAGATAACACAATTAATGCATTAATGACTACTCGAGAATCATACTTACTCGATATTTAAGATACCATTGTGACAATGTGCTACGATCCATGAGCAATCATTTTCACAAACTTCTAAATCGCATCCGTAGCCGGAATACATTTCCGCGTCGATCTGAAATTAGACTACAGCAAAGTTCACAATGAATGATTCTTTACCTACTCTCGAAAGCATATTATGCAATTCCTATGTTCTGTCTCAAAGGCACTATTGAAATATCAAATATGCGCACTTCTCGCATTTTTTCATTATATTTTGCGGCATCATAAGTTTGTTTACTAAACGGATTCGATGCGACAACATTTGCCTGATACATTGCCTCCAGTACGGGAGATGGAGCTATCACAAATGAATTCGAATTGCATTTCTAAAAAAATGGAAATGAATTTGCCAATCAAGTAAGTATAGAAAATCATAATAAGCTGAAATTCTATGCAAACAATTAAAGGCCACATCAAAAAAACAACGCATTACATTCACCACTTTAAATCTATTTAATTACAATGGATTTAAACAGATAAATACCAAGGCTCCCCAAAATTTCAGACAAATTTGAATTACTACCTAACTGTTGATGGCACTGCAGAAAAAAAAGAAAAAATCCATTTTGCAGAAAATTCATTACAAATCAAAACTTGATCATTTCAATACATTCTTTGTTATTGAATTTATCAAAACAATTTACCATGCAGCGTGAGAAAATATCATCTTTGGATAAATGCATATTGAACTGTCTTAAGACAAATTCAATCTGCTGAATTATGCTCATATTTTGCGCGGTTGGGACAGACAATATACGCTGCGTCCCTCTCAACGATCGATGTCTTCGAAGCTAAAGTTCATTTACGAATCTAAATTATTTTTCAAAAGCGAAAAGAAGACGCTTCAAACAATTACAAACTCTATTTCAAAGGTTATTCAATATAGCTTCTATTACTTCATATACTTTCTGGAAGATGACTAGCACAGAATATCCAAAGATATTACATGCAATTTCAATCACTGATTTTTCGTAACCAAAGAAAATTTCCAGTCTTCACTGTAGTGACTGAGTTGGAATATGAGAGCTAGCATCACAGTTTATGTCACAGCAAAAGTGATATTCAACATGGTCCATTTTCTCTCTGCAATAATAAAAAAAAACGTACTTCATCTATTGCCCTTCCACACGTTATTATGTATCGATTTGGATCTCTTTCTGCACACTCAATCAAATAACTCCGTGTTTCTGCTAATATGGTATCAATGCCGCATCTAGAATAGGAATGTTCACTGCATACTGAATTCAGCTAATTTCAATAAAATAAATGCACGCTTCTGGAACAGTCCTTACCTTCTCAAATGTTTACCCAGACCAAGCATCATTGAATCGACAATAATCTTCAAATCTTTCGGTTTCCTTTTAATTTGTGAATTATTTAGGCCGGAGTTTAAACGCTGAAACAGAAATCAATAGGAAATGAACATCCGGTGAAAATTATGTTATATAACAAATTTAAAAATGAGAGAATGGTTTGAATTAAATAAAATCTCTAAAGCGCATTGCAGTTTTTGAGAAGCATAAGCTCTAGGACATGCTAAAGACAAAAGCAATCAAAAAAACCTCAATCATTTGTTCGAATTCCCTGTCATCAAATTTCACTTCTTTCTTTTTGGCTTTCTTCTCCATCTTTGACTTCGTCTGTGTTACATCACACTCCTTGCAGTGTTTAGTCCAATCCATATTGTATTCTCTGCAATCCATTGTCCGAAACAGTATTTAATTCCATAATTCAATTAATTCAAAAAAATAAATTACCGTTCAGCCCTTATCTTTAACTTATCATAAAGATTCAATAAACAGTAAGCATCCATTGCTGCATATTTCATCTGTTCACGACGAAGAGGACGCATAGCCCAGTTGCCTATCTAAACAATTTTTAATATCTTAAGATCTCGAAAAGAGAAATGATGAGAACATTTCAATTGTTTTTACTAATAAGAAGTAAGAAGAAACCTGCTCTGTTTTATCTAGAGCCTCACCAAGTACTTTCTGACATAGATCAGTGAGCCGAAAGTGCACCGTTTCATCAGAAACAGGATCCAACAAACTTTCAGCTTTGCTTGATAATGGAAAGTCAGCTGAAAAGAAAAAAAACTATAGACTTGTATTATTTATAATCTAAAGGCTATTTGTAGCTCTTTTGCGAAATTCATATTTAAATCGATAAAATCTAGAAAATGAAAATTAACAACACACAAATATCATACTTGAGTGACTGAAGTCAAGAAATGCCGGATTCAAACTCAGAAGCTGAAAGAATCATAAACGGTAACTCGAAACGAAAATTTAGAAGCTTATAAACATGAAACATGTTGAAAAAAAGAATAACATACGCTTTTCACCAGTTTCAACATGCAAATCACATTTTTCATCTTTTCTAGAGGCTGTAGATAAGGAAAAGAAGCATGCAAAACCCTTAGATCGTTTAAAAGATCGAACCCTGAAACTGCAGCACTATGAAGAATTACTAAGCTACAAGTTTTCCGAAAGTGTGCATATTTTGCGAAGCTATAAAACAGCCTCTTCGAATGTGAAAAGACTGTTTGACCTGGAAAAATCTTACAGAAAAAGTTGCACAATCTTTCACAGACCCAATTTTACTGCATTGCTATCAGAAAACAGAGCTTTGAAGAATCGTGTCCACTGTTCCTCACTGAGCACATTTTCTAAAGTGATAACATCAACAAGGTAGCTGCAGTGTTGAATAGAGATTTGAAAAAGCGCTACCTGAAATGTTTCCTGGTCATATTAAACTTAGGCAGACAGTAACAGTTCTATCGAAATTTTAAGGATATCTTCCAAACGTTTTCAATTGAAAGATAAAAACAATCAATATCGTAGTGCTGAATGATGAAAAACTAACAATGAAAATGTTGTAAAACAGTGAGATCCCAAATACCAAAGTAATTTACCCTTTCACTTGTGCACATAAACAAGGGTTTCCACTCTGTATCTATTCCAATTAAGTCGGCTTCTTTAATAACAGGATAAAGCTTTTCCAAATCTTCAGGAGTTGCAATTATTTTGATGGGATGACCTGGGAACAATTCCACATTTGTAACACTCGCCCTTTCCGATGTGATCCTGTAAAAGAACAACTTCGAAGCAGCTTCAGGTAGTTGAAAAAAGGTTAGGTTCTCGTATGACAATTACAGAAATATGACGATCATTTGATGCTACACATATCACGTCGTTGACAATCATGGTAGGTTTCTCAAAAAGTTCAGTTCATTCATATAAGTGCCAGGTTCAAAAGCCTGTTCTTACCTTGTTAAATCAGCCTGCGCTCTAAGAACCATATCACTGCACAAATAAGACTTTAAACTGCGAGGGGCGCAATCGATTATGTTGTAAAAAACAACCCATCGAACGGCATCATTAAACCAGCCGTTTGAACAGAGATAATTAATAAAATATTTTTGCAGCATCAAATCGGATTGTAAAGCTTGCTGGAAGACATGCACTTCTAATTTTCATACAAGTGGCTGGGTAACTAATGCATTTCTAATTTTCATACAAGTGACTGGGTGGCCAATTGTACATGAGTCATCATTACTAAATTTATCCCCAAATTGGAGATAATGGACAACGCAAACTACTGTCCCTTTTATTCAAAAGTTAACGACAGTTGGAGTCACCAAATCCAAAATATTTTTGCAGCGTCAAATCGGTGAAAAAACAGAGGTACTTACAGCTACGTAATCAAAGTATCCTTCTTCGGTAACACTACGTTCAACGAAATACATAAAAGCCATATGTCTGAGAGCACCTTCTCGCCTACAGCGAGATAACTTCGGTGCCACTTCATGAGGTAAATTGTAAGTTGCTAGCAGTTTGGCGACAAACTTTTCAATAGCTTTCTTTTGCAGCTTCGACATTGGAATGGTCATAATTTTTCTTCTGCGGAAATCCTCATAATGATGATCAATAACTAAAAAGTTTAGAAATCCAACAAAATAGAGAAAACATACATCTTCATTTTATAAAATTAAAATCATCACAGTCCTTTCTCAACGGTAATCATCTTACGATGACTTTTTTTGTTTCATAGTAACATTATTTTACTGAACTGTTCAGGCAATCTTCGAAAAAGAAAATTAAAATCATCACAGTCCTTTCTCAACGGTAATCATCTTTTTTTCGAAAAAGTTATTTTCTTAACTTTTTAGTTATTTTCTTCGAAAAAGCCCAAGATACATGCCCTCACATGGTTGATCAAGACTGAACAATTAACTATACATATGTACATCATGTATTTTGATGCTTTAAGCTGCTCTAAGGAAGTATGAAACCTTAATCACCCCTAATGATTTGATTTGAAAAAAAGAAAAAAAGTATCAAGAATTAATTTTACACTTAGCAAAACAAAAATTAACTTCGTTCATCGAGACCAATAAGATTATCGAAATATCGCACAAGTTCTTCCTGCATCTTTCTTTCATTTTTAATGAATGCATCAACTGCAATAAAACGATCCTGCAGTACGCATGGGATAACTAATTCAATAAGTGTAAAATGCGACTGCAATCCAAACAAAGTTGCACAGGAGATAGCATCACGATAATTTGCCACGGCTACCATATCCTGAACATTGTTATTTTAATAGGTATGAAGCATGAAATAGGTAAAAAGAAAATAGATACTCTTCAGTTAACCAACTAAAAGTGACGCAAATACGCAATATGAAATTAGGTATGGTATAAGGATACATGTGTTGAAAGCAAAAAATATATATAACAGTACTTCTGGACTTAACTTAAATGAGCAAAAGAAAGCAAAACTGATAACATAAGCTTTTAAAAAATGCGATAAGAAAACATAGATCTTCGCACCAAAAAAAAGCAATATGGTGCTTTGAATTCCAGAAGAAGATTACTCAGTGTTTACTGCGAAAAACTTACTTTCACCACTTGAAGAACATAGTCTGCCATATCATCACTTTTCAACTGAAATAGACTGATGATAAGTTCCAAATGTACTGTATGTTTGTTTGTGCCGACGGTCAAAGCTTCAATCTAAAAAGCTTCAATTACATTTACTAAGGTAATTTTTAAAATTTGTTGCTCTGAATCATACTCACATACAGAATTGATTTTCACTTCATTTTTACTTTATTTTACTATATGAGTGATTCAATAATTAATAATTTTCAATTAAATTATATTGATCCAGTGACAAAACGTTCTGGAATAACTTGCTCACAAAAATGGTCTTGCATACCACAACATTAACATATTATGACCGATTCCTTTCATCAAATGAAAAACTAAAAAAACCTTTGTATTTCTATCTAGTTTCTCATACAGTTCATTATTCCGTTTCGTTTTTTGTAGCCACTGATCGAGATGTCGCAAAACAAAACCGGCGAGAGTTGATGGTTTTTGCGCCCCATAATCTGGACATAACTAAAATATGTCAAAACTAAACAGCAGCTACGAATTCTTCTATTTAATTTTACATCCCAAAACGTTTTTTGATCTATTGTTTAGTCTCATACAGTCTTTTTTTTAAATAAACCTTGTGCAAAATAAGTGCAGTTTTCATCGGATTTTGACACTTATCGAATATTTCGTTCAACACTGATTGGCACAACTCCTGCTGAAATAAAATATTGACACGCATGCCATTATCTGATATGTGGAAATTATGGATGTAAAAGAGGACCCGCGTAATTTTAGTAGTTTCAGTTTGATCCATTTAAAAGTACTTTTCTTGAGCTCGTTCTAGTGAAAAAAGAGAAACGACCTTAGTGATCTTTTTTTCCTCACAAATCCAAATATCCTTCAGCAACTTTACCCACATCTGTACTATTTCATGATGTGGTTGAAGCTGAAGTTCTTCGTTCAACTTCTCTTGATAATCATTTTCGATCTTCCCATCGACTACTTGCTCGTTTATAATTGAATTCCGCATAAGAACTCCAGCTTTTACCCTTAAATCATTATCGTCAGCCATAATCTGTAATAATGTGTTTCAGTTCCGAATATAACTTTCTACGTACATCCGTCTTGCATATTTTGCTAAGCCAATATCATAAATACTTCTCTTGACAAATCACAACTTTCCAAAGTGTCTTCCACCAGTAATTTAACTATTCTCAGAGCACATCTTCACCATCCGATTTCTCATTCCAATCTCATTCACAACCATATTCAGTGACAATGTAAGAATTTTAAAAAACTATTATGCTGCATCAGTGGAACAGAATCGCAAGTTCAAGTCAGGGAATATTGGCAACAAGCCATTCATCGATCATGTACTTTGCACGTTTCTTTTGACTGTGTGGCAGTAGTATTGGACATATTTGGCGTGTCTGTCGATTTTTCATCAGACTGATCGCGGCAAATATTTGCGCCTCATCATGCAGGAAACGTCTGTCTGTTTTTAACTTTTTGTTACACGTTGATTTGCACTGTGTAGTTAGTGCATAGCGGACACTCACGTTCATCTCCGTCAAATTTATTCCTTGCGGCTATATCATAGCGGGGCGGGATGTTCCCGTGCAACGAATATGAACGGAAATTTTTGGCTCAGCATAACCCCGGAACTTCACCACAAAAAACACAGGTGACTTCAACTTTTTTATTGAGAAACTAATAATTTCTGTTCCATTTGCAATTGATGACAACAAATGAAAGTGTAATGCAGTAATATGCGAGATTAGTGCATTGAAATAAGGTGCAGTGTAGAAGATCGCTGACATACTCTAACTGTAAACGATGGTATATGTGCAAAATATTTACGCAAACCTACCCGAACATAGTTATGAAGTTTCGTTTTTGTCCGCTGTAAGATGGAATTAAAACAGCGCTCTATTTTGAAATTACGGATAATATTCTGGAGAAGAGCAGATTTGGAAATTTTTATAATGTTCATTTCAGGGACACTCGCCGCGTATAACACCAACTAAATATCGCCCGGATGGCGGTGATCGTTATATACCTATTCGACAAAGTAGTGCGGAGTGGGCAACAAGGTGACTAAATAATTTTTATTTTTGGGTGCAAAGCTTTTGTTCAAGTAGCAAGATCAGTAATTATGTTGTACTGAACAAGAATAATGTATACTGATTATGCTTCTGTACATTTTCATCATGCAGTAATGATTATATCGAGAAGCAATGATAAGCGTCCAACATCACTCCATTGCAATATTTATTCGAACGTGATGGAGCATTTTTGGAACACTATGATGATGAACTTGTATGAACTGTAGTATTTCTTATGTCATTTTGATAGTTTTAAAATTTCCATAGGAAAGGGAATGCATTTTGCTTAAACTGAAAATCCTTTTCAGATTCGCTGCAATTGCATCATCGTCGCCGGACGCGCCTAATCTGTTCAAGAGACCTAGTGTGGGAATACAGGGAACATCGATCGGTGCATCCAGTAACGGAAATGTAGCAAATGCACAAGCAGCTCCAGCTACGAGTGCTATTGATGATTCTCGCATGGATTCTGCAGCTCACCGAGCTCTGCTGAGGAACGAACTTCTAAGCGATAACATTGACGATATTAGAGTGTGTCTATTTCATTTTGTGTGTATATTGAAAAATACGAGTTTCTTTTTCCATGCCAGTTTCTTTTTGTATGTAACAAAATAATAAGATAGTTTTTTTTGTTGGCATAACTCTAGTAAACTTGTCATTGTTGACATAACTCTATGAATGTCCGTCGATGCTATCTGCCTTATGAAAAGAGTTGAGTCTCTTGTTGCGAGAAATTTTTTAAATGAGGTATCAGCTTTGGAAATGGGATCAGTTCAATGAAATTATAATGACACTTTTTCACAAATAGACAAAAAACATTTTCTTTTAGGCAGATCTTGAAGGGTTTGATACGGGTCGGTTGCGTGATAGTCCTAGTGGTGGTCTTTTCAAGTTCGGACAACGAACGCCAACGAAATATGGTGATGCATCAACAAGCCATGCTGCGCGTTCCCTATTTGGAGGACCACCATTAAGCGAAGGGAGTCAGCGTCTTCTCAAATCTCCCCGTAAACCACAACGTAAAGTACCTAAAAATCCCTATAAGGTGGGCTTAGATTTTGATAGATTTATGTTTTTATCAAGTGCATTAAAAGTCATATGCGATAGATTATTTGGATTTTCACTTATATTTATGATAGTTGGAGTCTTTTTTTCAGGTCTTAGATGCACCTGAGCTGCAAGATGATTTTTATCTGGATTTGGTGGATTGGTCATCGCAAAATATGCTTTCTGTTGGATTACATACTTGTGTATATCTCTGGAGTGCATGTAATAGTCAAGTTCGTGGCCTAGATTTTTATTTCTTAATTACGAGTCTCTGCCAAATATCAAGTTGTGGGTTGATGGAAGACAAGCGTGTTAAAGATCTTATAGGATTAAACAAATTTTTCTTGCAAGTGGTACTGTATGCCAACAGTGATGAAATGTTTATTGTGGTCCCTTTTAAGGTTGTAAAGCTTTGCGATCTTGCGACTGATGGTGACAGCGTAACATCTGTTCAGTGGGCTGATAAAGGTGACTTATTGGCTGTTGGCACAAATAAAGGCATCACACAGATATGGGATGTTCATGCGCAGAAAAGGGTTTGTTATACAACTTTTTATCGATCAGATCTTGGTTTATAATTTTTGTTAATCTGGGACGACAAATTTTAGCTTCGGGAACTCACTGGACATTCATCAAGAATCGGCTGCTTAGCGTGGAACACCGATCTCGTGTGTTCAGGCTCTAGAGATCGCTTCATTATACAGAGAGATATCCGTCAACCAGCACAATATGCTGAACGAAGACTTAATGCGCATCGGCAAGAAGTAAGGACATATTTTCAGTTTCAAAATACTTGTTTAGTCGTGCGGTTCCAGAAACTCTTATCTTCAAACTTCTGAATTTTAGGTCTGTGGATTGAAGTGGTCTCCAGACAGACAATATTTGGCATCAGGTGGCAATGACAATCAAGTTTTGGTGTGGAGTTTGAGAAGAAATGATCCTTGTCAGGTTAGTTTGATTTTAATTGTAATTTTATGAATTTTTTAACATTAAATATTTTTTCTCTACTTCCTTTTGAACATTTCGGTTTTTGTTTGGCTAAGTAAATTAATATCACGTATTGCAAAAAATAAATTTTTCAATATTCAAAAAATATTGTCGCTGCACTATGTATTATGGAGAATTATGTGAATCGGTCTCCCATTTTTCTTTAGATCTATACGGAGCATAATGCAGCAGTGAAAGCTCTGGCGTGGTCTCCACATCATCATGGTCTTCTTGTTTCTGGCGGTGGTACTGCCGACAGATGTCTTCGTTTCTGGAACACATTGACGGGCCAGTCGTTGCACTGCATTGATACTGGTAGTCAGGTATACAGAAAGTAGTATTATCTTAACCGCTTACCTTTTGATTTTTGAATCTGTAGGTTGGAAACTAGCATCGCTCTCAATTTTATTTGTAAAATTTAGATTTTCTGCTTTTATCTATATTGGTTTTATATGAAGCATGGCCGTATAACTCGAAAGTGTAGAAAGTAGTATTATCTTAACCGCTTACCTTTTGATTTTTTTTGTTTAATCTCATCCGACATTCAAGATCTTTCTTTTGAAGGTATGCAATGTAGCGTGGTCGAAACACAGTTCAGAGCTGGTATCAACACATGGTTATTCATACAACCAAGTTATTATATGGAAATACCCATCTTTGCAACCAGTTACGAAACTTACAGGGCATCAGTACAGAGTGCTGTATTTGGTGAGCATAAATTGTAAGATGAAAGGATAGGAAATAAAACAAAAATAAAGCAGTTTCGCAACCGCAATTGTTGTGCGTTATGCGCTTATCTTAATTTGTTTGAATTGCTCTTTTTCATGATGATGATGATATTCTACAAAATTCTTTCCAGCGATGATCTTATGCTGCAAATAATGATTGTACAGTGAGGTTTAACATATGTAGGGTAATTCTGTATCAGCTGATCGCCATATCGGAAATGTTCTTATTTTAGGCAATGTCTCCAGATGGCGAATCGATTGTGACAGGTGCGGGTGATGAAACTTTGCGTTTCTGGCATGTATTTAGCAAAGTTGGGCAACAAAAAGTTGTTCGTTCAAAGTTGAATCTGCTCTCAAGTATTCGTTAAGCTCGTTGCTTGTCTTAAGAGTTTTTTAAACTTTTCAACTTCTTCCTCTTTCATAATATTTTTGAACCAGCTTCTCTGAATTTTATAGCACGAGCTATTTGTTCGATGGATTATGCGAACCGTGATTTCTATTTAAGTAAAGTTCTATAAGGCCGATGTGGCCTATGTGCAGAATTATATTTTCTGTCTTTCAAGTCCGTTTTTCTTTCGTACCTTTTAGAATATTCATTTTATAAATGACAAGCATAAATGATTTTTATTAGAAATATAATGGTTTGGCATTACAATGTTGCAGCTCTTTGTTAGCCTTTATCCAATCAATTGGTTAACTTTTTCCTTTATTCATGCTCATTTCATTTCTATTCATGTACACAGTAATCAGGTCATCAAGAAACTAAGTTGTTCAGAACTAAGTATTCTGAACTGATCAGATGAGATAATTCACTCATTCGTAGTGTATTTCTCATTTCTAGTCTATATGTGATACTTTTTGTTTGATCAATATCATTAAAGATAATATTCCGCGTATTAACTGAGCTCAGGACTTCATATGTGATATTGTCCAGTGCACAGTACTTTCTGATACTTTTATGAACTATTTCCAAATTCACAGATTTGTTTTAATAATTCACATTATGCTATCCGCTTTCGCTCCTGGATACAACTCTATTTTAGAGAATTTCTCTCTTGTTTTCGAAATTTAATGATTTCTTCATTCCTACATTAGCGAAACTATCAATGGTGCCCGTATCATCGGACGATAAGCCAAGCCATATGTTCAGTTGTTATTGTTTCTTAGGAATTACTATCGAACGTATTTCTAATTGTGTTTATTGTTTGGTTTTAGATAAAAATAGTGTTTAATCACTTTACAAAATTATTTTACGAAATATGCTGAACTAATAAGAACTATATAGGATATGTTTAGTTTTAATGCAGAAAAGAGATATATTGATATGCAATATAGATTTATCATCGATTCAGGTCATAAATATGCTAATTCCTCTGCAATATGTTAATTTTAAATTTCCATGGATGCGATAAGACCGTTTCAAAAGCTTGTACTTGTACATGGGAAAGTAATCCGTCATTTAGTGACAGTATCTCTAACATATTTCATAGTGAATGATGCATCATAGAGTTTACCTTTTCGTCTTATATTAGCGACATTTCAATGACACATGATCCTACATCTTCCGTGACTGATTTCTATTAGTTTTAAAATATTCATTCAGGAATCTCTGATGAAACCATTTGCAGAACTGCTAGATTGATGGTATTGGATCACATGACTATCAAAGTGCTCCTTTGCCTGAATAGTGTGGGACATTGAAACCTTTCACCAAACTATCTATGCAATGTAGTAAAACTTAGAGGACGGATGGATGGCATATCGCAGTGGGCAGCCACCTTCAAAATTATGAACCATACGCTGAATTTTTTACCGTTCATAAATTTCACCTAATATGGTCTATTATGAACTTATTGACAGATAACAAATTAATTCTTAGAGGATTTGAGAATAACATATTCAGATGTTAATGAACGGATTCAAAATTAGGCTGCATTCGTATGAATTCGTAATAGTTTTTCAATTTTGGCGTGATATATTTAAAACAGTGTTGTATTAAATCATAAATTCGTTTGCACCGGAGGGCGACGAGCAATGAATGCTTGCTTGAATTGTGGATTTACAATTACTGCTGATGAAGTTGTATCATAATCCAAATTTGAAGTTTGAGTACCACCATCCACCATTTTTGGTTCATTCATACGAAGTGATAGTATGAGTTCCATCAACAAAACGCAAAAGGAAAGACCGGCGAAAATCTAGAAAGAAATGTATAATTTTTTTCGTTCCTGAAAGAATGTAACCTTTGCAAAAGACTTGATGCAAATAATTTTAATTTTAGCATATAAATAAATATAACTAACCACTGCAGTGGTAAGCGATGGTGAATTATACAATAAGAAACAACTCTCATTGAATAAATTCAAGCATACTCGTACACTAAGAGCAAAAAATATCGTAGCCAACAAGGAAAGGAACATTGGTATCATCACGATCGCTATTTTCTGTAAAATCAATTTTCATTTTGATTTTTTTATAATTTTGCTGTCTTTTTCATGATAATATCAAATAAGTTTAATCAATATCGATAACTAACCTATGATAATATATGCAGAAAATGCATCTCTGCAGTTACTTTGGATCAAGTTAGAATGTTTGTTTGGACTTCTTATTTGACTTCGTTTTTTGCCTAATTTGCCCATCAAGTAATTGGAATTTACCTGTCAAACTCTTGAAAGAAGTAAATTCTAGAATCTTCGAATAGATGAAGAATAATTAGACGATATGGTTATAAGTAATTAAAGAATTAAAGATGATGGAAGTCGCGAGAATTAGAGGGAAATGAACATGTAAAGAAGAGCTACAAAATTATAGTTATACTAGGATTAGAAAAAATAAAATTGGATTGAAAAAAAATGTGAAGAAAATTTTCAGTTTTGTTGAATGGAAGTGTTTTACGCCAATTGTCGCCACCTTCCAATTCGAAAATGATGACAATTGACATAAAACATTTCTCTTCATGCGGTGTTATTTCAATAATCATCATATCTCTTATATTCCTTACATTCTTCGATATCACCTAAATACTCATAATACTAAGGTTATAGGAAAATCTGTAAGCTTTAAATAGAATTGTATGACCTCCTCTATATATCCAACGCTAATCATTACATCAGATTATGTTAAAACTGTAAATTTCACTGGAAGCAATAATAAGCTGAAAGCTTTATTTTATTATCAGTTGCTGAAATTGTTTCCTCCTTATCGATAAAATCAATTAGAAATAAATCTATCTTCTTGTAAAATAATTTTTTGGCAAAACTTACCACTGGATATAGTAGAAATATCTCACTTTTCGAGAATTTCCATATTCCAATAATGGAAAGGAGAGAAAATGTAGCAAGAAGTGCAGAGAAGAATCCAAGCGTTGGAACAGTGTAGTGATACCATAAATCATTCATTAAACAGCATATGACAGAAATAATTATACATGACTTGAAAATAGAAAATTAGTAATAAAATCAGACAAATAGATGCTGAAAGGAAGATTTGTCTCTGAATATTTTTCAATTTAAAGCATCTAATTATATCCATTTCATTAATGCTTGTTTTGATTTTAAAAGTTATTGTTTAAAAAAGCGTCTAAAAACTTACCGTAGCCAAAATCCGAAAAATTAAAGAGATTTTGGGAGAATAAAGGAGGAAAGTTGTTGGTTGCATATTTGACAGAAATGATAAGGAATGGCCGTCTTGAAAGGTAAACGAATTCAGTGATCGTTATGTTCCCCTTACTAAGCATGTTCATCCACTTACTCTCATGTTTATCTTTCTCTATCGAGTACGTGTCACCAAAATTGTCAATGAAGAAGAAAGCATTCATAGATTTGCATCAATACCACAAATTGTTTACACAAATGCTTCATCACTATCTTTCATATTGAAAGATTTTAAATTTGCATAAAAAATGACGGAAAATCAAGTTGATTTTTCTTTATTGGATATTGGAATAGACAGCCCCCGTACGTACTATCATTTACTATCATCACTGGACATACTACTATTTACTGTCATCGTGCTTTAATCATAGCAACTATATTTCTTCAGTAAAAATAAACATGCAAGTTCGAAGCGAAGTTCTTTAAAACA